GGGGGAGCCAGAAGAGGCAGACGCCTGGGCACTGGCAAAGGCGCGGGCCCCGCCCTGCTGCTGGGCGGGGAAGGAGCCGCTAGTGGTCCAGCCAAAGATGTTGCAGGTACCCGGCAGCACCCGGCGCGTCACAAAGCTCTGGGCAGTGGCGGTGGCCACGCCGTTGGCGCACATGGCCTGGGCGCGCGCCACGACGCGCTGAATGATCACGCAGCCTGTCACAGGGTTGATTCTGACACTCTGCGCAACTGCCTCGCTCCAAGCCTGCGCCTGCGCGGTTGTGCCACTGCAGAACACTGTGGCGGTGGCCTCCACGACTGCGCCATCGTTGCCGGCAGCCACGGCCTTGGCCATTGCAGAGCCAACCTGGGGCGGGAGAGAAAAGGGCAGCAGGGGGTGGGTGGATTGATGCTTCAGGGTCGTAAACAGGGGTACAGATGGTGATGTGCGAGAGTGTGTGTGTGTGTATGTGTGCATGTGTGTATGAGTGTCAATGCTTGTATTCAAGCAAGCACAGACAGAGGGTACTGAATCACAATGTTGCTGATGCAGAGAGCGGCCAAAAGCAAGGCACATCCACACCACATTCCCATGCTGGCAGCTTTCCTCCAAACCTCACCATGTTGGCGAACTCCGAGCCAAACTCGCCGCCCCATGTGCTGCGTGCCTGCGCCATGGCGTCTGCCACCCCCATGGCAAAGCGCGACATGCTGCCCTGTGCGCTGGCAGCCGCAAACGCCGCCGCCGTGGCTGAGACAAAGCCTGCCTGCATGCCGGCTCCCTCACTTATAGCTGTGGCGGCGCTCTTTGCAAACACTTCAGTGAAGCAGCCCTGGTCCAGGCCCGCGGTGTGGGCAAACACGTTGCCCACGGCCGCTGTGGCGCCGGCCTGCGCCGCGCTCATGAGGGACCAAGCGGCCTGGTCCATGTCCATGCCAGGCCCCGTGATGGCACGCGCAGCGGCGAATGCGTCGGTGCGGATGAGGCTGCTGAGGGTGGGGTTGCCGCTCGGGACGAAGAACTGAGTCCCAGCTGTGGCGGTCGCTGTGGCTGCAGCTGTGGCTGTCGTTGTTCCAGAGTTGAAACCGCGGCGTGCCAGCCACCGATTGGCGAAGAAGCTGTTCAGACGTCCGCGCCCAAAAAAGTCTTGTGCCAGCATGCGGCGGCCAGTGGTGGCGCTAGGAGGGGGCGCGGACACGGTGACAGCGCGCAGCGGCGCGGCCAGGGCGGCGGCGCTGCACAGCAGCACCAGGGTTGCTGCGCGAGGCATGGCACAGGGTGGGGTGTGGTTCATGAGGGAGGTGAGCGAACAGCGCATGCCGCATGGGGGCGAGGGGGGTGAGCATTGCCAGTGCTGCCCTGGCCCCGAGTCACCCCAGAGCGTGCATGTTTGAACGCTGCATGCCGACCATGTGCTCACCAACAAAGCCGTGGACCCTTGCCATGATGTCGACAAGATTGCTGTCGCCTATACAAATATCTGATTGATGGAGGTGAGCGCGGCTTGCGTATGAGATCGAGCTCAGCTGTCGCGGTTCGTGATAAATCTCGGGTGTGGAGCTTATGCTAGCGGTTGAGCTGGGTGTTTGTGCTTGTCTCACCGCCTGGATTGACTCTATAAAAGAATGCAGCCAAAAGTGGTGCTGTCGCCGACGGGCGGCCGCCCATCTCACTCTTACTCATTCATTGCTTGCTTCACCCTTTCAACAATGAGCGCCGCTCCCCGCCGAGCAGCCGTGACCTAGTGGCAAGGATT